CAGCATGAACTCTAAGCCCCCGAAGCCCCAAACCCCCTATACTAACCTCTAGCCCCCCAAGACCTAGCCCCCTAATGAAGCCCTGAACCCCTGAAAGGCCTGAAAGGCTCTTAAACCGTTTGAGAACCGCAAAACTCAAACCATAAACCAAGGGCCCCAAACCCCAAAGCCTTAAGCGTCCAAAGCCACCAAGCTTAGCCTCGAGCTGTGCGCCCATTGGCTCCACCGCGCGAGATCTGAGGAAAGGATTGCAGGCTCAGGGGTTTGGGGGTTTGAACAGCGAGTTTCAGGTGTGGGGGCTTAGAGTGTGAGGTTTCGGGTTTGGGGTGTAGGCCTTTCAGTGTAGGCGTTACGTAGTGCGTAGGAAGTCGAGGGCGCACGGTGCCTGCAATCATAATAGTTTGCTGAAGGGTAACCCTGAATCCTTAGACCCCACAGGCAGCTCCGTTGTCCCAAACGCTTAGCCCTATAAACTCCAAACTCAGGAAAGGCGCCTCCAGGAGTAGCATGGCCGGGGCGATGAAGAGGCGGGGCCTCAGCGGACAGGGCTACAGTTTAGGGTCTAGGGTACAGGATCTTCCGAAGGATTGGTGCTACGTTTGACCTGGGTCTTAGCGGATACTGATGTTGAAGCTTTCTGTCCTGGAATCTGGAGCTTCAGGTTAAAGATTTAGGATTCAGGGACTGGGGCGTAGGGCTCCAGATTTGAAATGTGTATTACGGCTAGCGCTTCGCACTTAGGAATCACGATGTTTTGCCTAATGACTTGGCGTTTGAGTTGACTGCTTCGGATGTACGATTAAGTTTCAGGCTTGAGGATCCACAGGCATGGACTTTTTTTACGACTTTTAAGGTTTAGGTCCGGAAGACCATCAACGAACCCAAACTTAAAGCCAGACCCTAATCAAAGCCGGCCCAGAACAGCTCCAAACCCCGAATTCCCAAACCTAAGCCTTGGACTCCCAAACCCTATGTCGCTAAACCTACACCCCAAACCCCACTCCCCTAAACCCTGAACCCAAGTCAAGTACCGCCATAAGCTGGGCTTGTGGCGTCCGTAACGCTCTGTAAGCACGCCGCTTCGGACGACCTCCATGACACGGGCTAGGGTCTTGGGTTTACGGTTTTAGGGGTTCAGGGATTAGGCTTTGAGATTTATCGGCTGGGGCCTTGGATTTAGGGTGCAGGTTGTAGGGGCATACGTTTGAGGGGCTTGGGGTTTACAGTTTTGGGTTAGGCTTCGTTGCTCAGAGTTCGGGCCTTAGTCCGGGCATCGAGGCAGTATAGTTTTTTCAAGCACATAGCGTGGTTGGTTAAGTTCTGCAGGTCTTGCAAGGAGGTTTGCACGAGTTTGATGAAACTTAAGCTTAAGGTACACCTTCATGTGTCTCTTCTGCGGACAAGTACTAAGCCCATATAGAGCTTAGCATGGCTTCGAAGGCTCCATAGTTTGAGAGGATTGAAATCATGCAGTGTGACGCGATGTGGGGTGGCTGCGAGCATCGGCCAGGTCTGTGCATCAGGACTTTGGAGCTGGGTCAATCCCCCACCCAGTCATGGGTACCACAAGGGACTGTTGTAGGTATATTGAGGCCCTATCAACTCCATATTGAGGGGCTACTACTGTAGGGGCGATTGACCTAAGTTATAAGCTGGCCTTAGAGGGCAGTCGCGGGCTGGGATTCGTCTTCCCATGATACAAAACCCGAGTTCAAGGTCACTCTTGGCGATCTGAATCATATAGGATTACACTTGTAAATTTTTGTCACCAAAACTATGATATGACCCTCCTCTATTTGGACACTAAGGTATCATCAAATATGATACTAGGTGCTCAGCTGGACGTCTTCCTTGCATACAGGCTAGACTGCACACACGAGCACAACTGCTAGCAATCCTAAGAGGACTCTTTTGAACTCCTGCAGAAAATGTCTGCTACCCATGAATAGGGACCGGAGATTCTCAGCCGACAAGGATAAACCCCCAAACACTGGGCCCCCAACTCGACGGAATTCCAAACACTTGCATGTGTCTAAGGGAGGACCGGCGAGTGGATCCCTGCAATAGTCACTGTATGCCCTATGTATTTACGTACCTGTAGGTCATATCTTCCCCCACTCCCGCCCAGCATCAGTAAGAACACAACTGCACATCCTGGATGCATTCTATCCTGTCTACCTAAGATTACACACCCCCCTGCCTCTTAATAATGCTCAATGCATTTCCAAAAACATACACGATTCATGCTTCTCACAGAGTGTGTGTATCTACTTCTGGGGCTGGAAGCTGTCTTCCACTAGAGGGAAAGGATGACATGGCCAAACCACGGAGAAAAGCAGCGGTTCTGGGGCCTGTGTGTGGCCAGTTACAGGCGGGGGCCGCGAAGGGACTGCAAGCCTCCCATTCACGCAGCATTAAGGCTAAGGGTAAGCACTATTGTCAGGGTTAGGGTTTAGGGAGCAAAGGTGAGTTTAAGGGTTATAGGGTTGATGACGTGGAGCTTTGGGTTTGGTCTGGCATGTAGGACGTCTGGTGTAAGGGTTCAAGACTTTGATTTTTGGGTCTATGTGCTGATGGATGAGATTCTAGCGCTTAGGGCTCAAGATCCTCGACTTACAGCTGTGGATCATTTATGGTGAGAGTCAAGGGCACGAACTCGTCGCATTCAGGCATTTAGAGCTTCCTGCCCCGCATTCGAAACCCGCGCATGTTCTGGGACGAGGGTTTTGGGATCAAACTCGGGGTAAGGCGTGAACCCCAAACCTAGTGCCCTAGTGTATAAGCTTTGGGTTTTCTCTCTTCTGCTCACGCCGTGGCATGTAGCTCCTGCGGTCTACCTGTCGAAGGGTTAGGGTCTGGAGCTGCAAACAGTCGGTTGAAGTCCTAGTGCGTTAGGTTCCCAGACACAAGAGCTTTCTATTGAAACTGGGGTCCGTTTCTACGCCCCAAAAAGGGAGACCCTACACAAAGGGGCCTATACCTTTGAGAAACCCCCACATCAAGGTCTGAGCCCTACACCTTAACTCCTGTAGTAGAAGGCCTCTAACACCAAACCCTACAACATGTGGGTAGTTCCCAAGATTGGGGTCCCATTTTGGTACCCCGACATATTGGGTGCCGTAATATCAGCCTATAACCAAAAGAAACCATAATTTTGAGAACAGCCCATGTGCTAGAAGACCTCTGCATCGCTGGCTGTCTGGGTGAGGTCGTCCAGGCATTTGGAGTCTGCCTTGTAAGTTGGGTCTAAACCCTAAACCCTTACCTGGAACCCAAAGACAGAAGCCCAAGAATACAGCGGGCATGTAAAGAGAATGTTACAACTTAGGAACACACCCCACCCTGTAATAGTGACATAATAGGAATATAAGAGGACCTTATTACAATCCTTATTACTCCGTATAATCACTGTTACAGGTGGGGAGTCCACCTAACTTCTAACCATGGACTTCTTGTATCTCTGCTACTGGATGCCTATGTGAGTTGTGGGCGTTCGTTTAGAAGCCTCCTGTTCAGCCTGTGCTGAGGGAACACCTCCTGCCAAACATGGTTGCACCGAAAAGCGCCCTCATCATGGCTTCAACAAAGTAATTAGTAGTGCTAGGAGCAGGGAAGAATGCTGCGACGCACAAAGCCCTAGCTTGACAGCGAGGTTTAGGGTTTTAGGGTGTAGACCCCCAAAGCTTACAGGATTGGACGCTGATGCAGACGTCTAAGATTCGGAAGAACTAGCAGCTTTCCCCTCAAGACCCTCAACATTGAACCAACTTTCTCAGACATCTTCATTGCAAAAACCAGGCCATGTAGGCAGGGTTTCAGCTCAGGAGTTGGGAATTCGGGGGACTTTTGGGCAACCCGAAACCTTAAACCTTGTCTGCTGCTCAAGGGGAGCTTGGTACGGAATACAAGTACTGGAATGAAGGTGTATGGGAAATAGCTAGAAGGGTCCACTCCCCAGGACTTGACGTGAAGGATTCACAAACTGGGCTCTCAAGGGGCTTGGGGTTTAAGAGAATCTTTGGGCTTCGTTATCTAAACGCTAATCTAACAAGGAAACCTACGAAACTGGAGCCAGTGATGCTTTTCCTTACATCCACCATGCACCACGTAGGATTGGTCTGATGGCCAGCTACTGGCTTCATTCCTCGCGCTGAGGTTGGGGGTTTAGGCTTTAGTGTGGAATCATCCCCGAGGCAACCTAAAATAAGCCGCAGCTTTCTCAGCATCACCTGTTCTGGAGAATATTAACTATTGTAGGAGGGTAAAGCATTTTGAGGCTTTTGAAATTTAGTGCTAATGGCTTAGGGCTAGGGTATAATGGAAGAACCTCGCAAGCCCTCACGCCATTGTTGGCTGGCAGGGTGGCTGAAAAAAGGATCCTGTCAGGAGAAGATGAAAATGAGTGCTACATTTAATGGAGACAACCTAAACCGGTGCAGGGCTTCCTCCATCTACAGTATGCGTAATGGCCTTCCCCAATTATCGACCACTTATGCTCTCATGTTTGCTCATCACTTATGTAAGTTTAAGATCCCGAAAGTGATGTGGCTCCATGGACTTCGTGACCTTAAGTTTGTTCTTGATTTCTTCGAGGATCGCATACGACCCTGAGCCCCAGTTCTAGTTCACTCCTACTCTATCTACTTGGCATGCATGCGGCACCAGACGCTGAAGCAATTCTCTACACGGACGAGGGATTTTCCTCTTAATTCTGGTCGCTTTTTGGTGCGAGGCCCAATCTTGGATACCACCCACACCCCTTAGCCACGCAGGGATGGTGGTAGAAAGTGCAGCTTAAACGCTCAAGGGACTGAGCAAACAGCTTATGAGATGGGTTCTAAACGGGCCCAACCCTGTTAGGGGACTTCTAAATCAATTTATAACCAACGCATTTACTACGTCCCCTGAAAATTCAAGTATTCTCCCCGACAACCCCTTAATGTAGAATACATCCGTTCGCGCATCGAACGTGTCTTGCGGCCTGCTTTGGGCTGCGAAACCTACTCTGCAATCACCTTCTTGATCCGCTTTCGGATCTTCAGCTTGCATTCAGAACATTGCCATTTTGGCAGATGATGCTGGCATACGTTGGCCCCACCACATGGAGCACAAACTGCCTGCACTCGGTTGTGGACACAGTAAACAATACCTGAAGTACAGTCTGCTTTGTATCTTGACCCGTCGACTGGCTTGAAGAAAGCCCTGGACCCAGCACCAGGCTCACCCTTGCAGGACATGTGTCCATTGTTGGGCACCAGCACTGTAGCTCGGGATGTCTTTGGGTGAACGAAGTACCAGCAGGAGATCATTTCGTGGGAGCAACGCTCGCATTGTAGCACTTTCGGTTCCAAGGGCCTATGCTCGATGGTCCTGAGCTTCGAACGATGCGGTCCCGGGTTGTACATGTGTTTGTCTGACTGCAGAGCTCGTGGTTGTCTTTGGCGCTTCATTTTGTCACCGGCAACGGCCGGATCGAGTTGAAGCTGTGAGTCGGGCTGCTCACCGCATGCAGAGGCCTTGAGGCGCTTCCAGAGATTGCATGATGCCGCAAAGTCGATGTTGGCATGGCATTCTTCGAATTTGTCTAGCAGATGCTTGATGCGCAAGCACGCAATCTCAATCTCTGAGTCTTCCAGGCCGAGGGAGCGCCACAAACCAAGCGCCCGAAGCAAAGTCTTCTTGACAGTTTGCTGGCTGACCTTCGCCTCCTGCTCCGTGTTTACATTATTGGTGCCACCGTCTCCACTTGCTTGGCCTTCGGCCGCAGCGAAGCGTGGGGGCGACAAGGCCGCAGTTAGTTGGAGGATCAGTCTCCGTAGACGGCTTTCGGAAGTCTCCTCCTTCAGGGTTTTGAGGCGCGAGGCCTAAGCAGAGACTTTGAACTTGCGTTCTGTTGGAGTCAGGCTGTGCCACTGTGACATAAAACGCTGAAATTCTCTTGCGAGTTGCGCTGCTCCGTCTGCCACCTCACGCTGGCCAATGGCAAGTGACAATGCCAACTCGTGCAGCAAGGCTTCAATGCTCTCGAATGACTCGCTGCATACAACTTCTGCTTGCTGACTCCACTGTTCGACGCAGGCGCTCGCAGCATTAAGGCTGGCTTCGAGACGAGCATCTGACTGCGGTTTCACAAGGGCACGCAGCATGTTTACCAGCAGATCAAAAGGGGTGAGGTCACCGCAATCGCGACATAGCACTGTCAGCTCCAGTCTCGCCACCCAGCTGCAAACGTGGCAGATCAGTCGGGCCAAGCGCACCTGTTTCCGGCATCCTGCTTTTGAGGGCGCCTCTTCAGCAGCTCGCTGGTAGCGCCGGATGGTGCCCCGTCGATCAGCTTTTTGGGCAAACTTGCCTGCATGATGCTGCCAGTAACTCTCCATTGCTGCGATGCAATATGCGGAACCCTTCAAGCCACAGAAGCAGGTGGGAAACATTCAGGGACCTGCCGGGTTGAAATGATTCAGTCCAGAGGCTTCCTCCCTTCAGCCTTATCACTTTTTGAACTTCCTATGGAATCCTGTGTTACCTGTGCAAGACTGATAAAACCTGCCCATCACTCTTGACTGTGAGAAGCCACGTGGCACGATGCGTGTCCCAACTGCTGTTGTAAGCCTTTTGCGTACTTGTGGTTAAGGTTCTGGGTTGAGGGTTTAGGATGGTTAAGCACATTCCGCACATGCTACGCAAGCGGATCTCGAGTTATCTGGCACGGTGCGAACTTGCAATGTTTGGCAAACCTAGCATTCCCGGTACCGCCACAAAATGTTGCTCCGTGTTTAGCTGCGGCCGCCTTCATAATGTGAAGTTCTTTGGGCCTTAATTGGTTCCCCTCTTATTTTGGTGACACCCAGCGTAATGCCAAGTTCTGTCTCCGAGGCATTGTTGGATTCCAGGGTTAAGTTTCGCTATGTGACAATAGGGGTTAGGTTTTACGGTTTGAGGCTTCGGGTTAGGTCGTCAAAATCCAAAGACAGAAATTCAAGACTTCTGCTGAGGTATTGCAGAAAAAACCTTCACTGCTATCAACAAAATTATCTATTTCCATACGGCCAAGCAAAAGGGTGAGTTTCTGAAAACAGGCTTATCACCCCTCGCAGCACCAAATTTCCGAAATCCTAATTCAAAAACCCAATACTCTAGATATCCCTTATAACCAACGCTAAAACTGGGCGTAGGCCTCCCCCCATGCATCTCAAGAGACGACCATGCCGCGGAGACCAATTGGGATTCTGTGTCGGCAACCAGGAACCCAAAGGAAAACCCTAAAAAGCATTCAAGAAGCTTCCTTAGGCCCCACCTGTATGTCCCAAACCCTAAACCCTAAACCCTAAACTGCAACCCCTGAATTGCTTCATTAGATTTGGATCAGAGGCCCTGAATCCCTAAATACGATATAATCAATATGTCTATATCTAAATCTATCTATCTATATATATATATCTATCTATATATATATATACGTAAACCCACCCACCAAGCAAGATTGCTGAGTGTAGAACGCTAAAGAGGGTATGTAGCATGCCTTGGGGGGGAAATCCCTAAACCCTAAATCCTAAACCGTAAACCCTAAACCCCCAAACCCTAAACCCTAAACTGTCAACCCTAAACTCCTAAAGCCTAAACCCTAAACTGTAAACCCTAAACCCTAAACTCATCTTTGTCAAGTCCAAGCTCCAAGGTCTGACATCTGAAGCCCCGACCTTACAAGACTAGATCCTTCCCTGCTGCTGACTGTCGAAACCGCTTGAAAAACCTTACAGTGTTTTGCCTGTATTCGCGTTGAGCCCACTTGGAGGTTCAGGGGGACGTGTTAAGTAGGGTAATAAAGGGGATAGCTAAGGTTGGTTTTAAGGATTATTGACCTAGTTACTAAGTCCCCTCCAAGCAAGGATTATGATCAAAAAGCTTGCGAAATCATCAGGCCATACAGTTCCAGTACACCACCAACAGTTCAGCTTAGTAGGGTTTCAGAGTTTAGGGGAATGGGAGAAGTGACAATGTACATGGGGATCCATTCCCGCACTCCCAATCCCCATGCCATCCCTATACAACCCCTACAAAATCCCTATACAGTCCGTATATAACTCCTATATACTCCCTAACTCATCCCCATCAACTAAGTATGTGCAAGAAAAATGTACACAAGAGCTGAGTCGATGGCGTGGAGGGAGCATATGAATGGCTCTTGGTAAGCGACGCCTGGAGCGGCTGTTTGAGGACACGCAAATTTGGGTTTGGGCTATAGGATTCGGAGTTTACGGGCTTGGGTTTGGGGTTTAAGAGTTTAGGGTTTGGGGCTTGGGTTTGGGGTTTATGCCTTGGGGCTTACGGTAAACATCTTTCTAGTCATCGGCCATCCTCGGAGCCTTAACAACCCAACACACTTCCCAGACCCCTGGGAGGATCTAGAAAGTAGAACCCCCATTATGGTACCCTATACTAGTATTGGGTAATTTCTAGGAACCCTTAAGGGGGATCTACTTTCTAGATCCTCCCAGGGGTCTGGGTTGATGACTACAACAGGCCCGATTTTCCTTGACAAAAACTGACTCAATAATCCACTTTCTGGTCTTGTGAGACCTGCTTTCCCACCTTGCTCTTGATGGAAAGCCTGTTCTGGTAGATGGTGAGAAGGGTTTGGCCGAACCGCGAAATGCGGTCCATCTGACGCCAGTACATCTCTTATAGGGTCCTGACAATGGGGTTGGGGTTACCAAAAACCTCTTATTAGTAAAGCCTACAATACGAAATCACAACCAAACAGCCGTTTACCTTGCAACAAGTGAAACGTCACCCCTACCAAGTATCCCTGCCACACGAGGGAGACAGAATCCAACGCGACCTTACTGTAAGTAGACTGTATTAGCTTAATTTGAAGGCTTATGCAGTAAGGTGCCCCGAAGTCTGACACTTGAGCACTAAACCCTAAGCCATACCTTGCTCAATAACGAAAAGTTGGTCTGAGGGCAGGGAAGCGTTGCGCTCACATTGGGAAAACTCGTCCTTGACCTCAAACCCCCCAAACCCTAACCCCGCGCCCAGCATCCTAAACTCCAAGTCCCATAAACCCTCAACTCCAAGCCCTAAACCCTGAACCCTAATCTCCAAGGCCTTATAAGCTTAAACTCTAAGCAGACCTAATTCCTAAACCCTAGCTCTAAGCCCTCAACCGTTTCCACAGCAATCCCTACAGAACCCGTAGCGAAGTGTCCATCTTCTCGTTCATTCCCTGATACCCAGAGCTCAGACCCTCCCTACCCGGAGCTTCCCGTGAAATCCCTCCGAAATCCCTGGATAATCCCCATAGAGTCCCTATGTAACCCCGCTTAATCCCCACCTGATCCCTGGATAGTCCCCATATAACCCCCTACGACCCTGAGCTCTAGACCCAAAACCCTAAACCTCGCGCTTCCAGCCTGGAATGTCCACATCATCAATAATAACAGCCGATTCGCGCGTTGAGCGCTCGAACCACTATCAGCTGCAACTGAATCAAAGAGGCTAAGGGTTTGGGGAGTAGGGTGTAGGGTTAGGGTCAGGGCTTGCAAAGGAGGAGGAGGAGGAATGTCAGCATTAGCAAGTGCATCTGCGCAGCAAGAATCCAAGGATGTCAAGGTACATGCCAAGGATGAGGATTGCTGAAATTCAGGCTGCCAGCCCAGGAGTGCAGAAGCTCCCATAAAAGGAAGAAAAACGATGAATTAAGCAAAGCCCTAGGTCAATAGAGCAGAAACAAATAAGAGGAAGGCAAGAAGAATTACTTGTGACATTCACAATGACTGCAATGCAATAGCAGCACGCCCGTTGAGATTCACTACTCACCAAAAAAATCCTACCAGGAGAGCAATCGAGATCTGAATACCAATCTGGACCTTCACCATCATAGCAGCTGCGGACTTCCATTTTGCTGCAGCCACACTTTCAAAGGGTGCGGTAAGGCTGCCCCAGGAGAGGGAACTTGCTGGCGCAATCCGCGGAACAGCAAGATCCCGGTAGCTGCGCTGCTGCAACAAATCTGCGATCCGCCAAGCTAAAGCTAGGCTACTGCGGATCTATTTCCATCTAACTTCTAGGCAAGACCGCCCCACACCTGGGAATGTACCTCACCCCTTTTCCCCACAGCAACTTGGGACAGTTGGCCCTCCTAGGCCCTTCTTATGGCCATGGGGCTTGAAGGAGGGGTGGCATACATTCCTATGAACCATCCTAAACCCTAGCTGAACAAACTTGGAGCACCGGAACCCTGTAAAGCGTCTTTCAGGAGCCCCGACTCCCCCCAGAGGAATGCTCCGCACGGAGAGCGGCATGCTTCCTGTGTGGGGTATTTGTAGGGGCGTAGGTTGTAGGCATTTTTGGGGGTGTGTGAAAGGGAGGATTGCGTGGAGATAGCACTTGGAAACAGGGTATGTAAACTGTACCACAAACAAAAAAAATTGGATGGGGGATTGTGCCCTGGCTACTTCGCTACTACATATCAAGTCGGGGCAATGCAGAAATG